GTATAGCTCCCATGTATAGGTACCTTCCGATATTCGGTATTTTGATTATTTTAGAGACATTATTCACCGGAATTGTTTCAAATTTGATATCTGAAGTTCGTAATAAAATGACAGGAGATTGTCTGTGCAGGTCCACGTCTTCGTATAGCCCCCATATAACGGTACCCCCGATATTCTCTATTTTGATAATTTTAGCTACATTATAAAAATTTTTCATTCAAGTTTCGCATGTGAATATTGTTAAAGCTTATTACAAAATTTTCCTATGCAGGTCCACGTAGTCGTAGTGACCCAGATCTAGCGGCTACATTCGGTATTTTTAAGATTTTAACATTTTACAGCTTTTTTACTTGTTATTCTTTAAAATATAGTGAATATTTTAACCATTAAAAAATATTTGTAAAAAAATCAAGGGAATTGAGGATATAAAAAATAAAAATGTTTTGTTGATCCTTGAAAAACAGATTGAAAATTTTACATTTGTTATTTGTTAATTAAAAAAAATCTTTAAAATCCACGCTTTCTTGAGTACCTGAAAAAATATTCTTAAAAAAATCCACGTCTTTTTGAGTCTTTGAACAAATATTCTTTAAAGAATCCACGCCTTGTAGATTTCCTGAAAAAATATTTTTTTAAAAAGTCCACGGCTTATAGGGTCCCTGAAAAAATATTTTTTTAAAAAATCCACGCTTTATGGGGTCCCTGAAAAAATGTTTTAAAAAATCCACGCCTTATAGGGTCCCTGAAAAAATATTTTTAAAAAATCCACGCATTATGGGGTCCCTGAAAATTTTTTTTAAAAATCCACGCATTATAGGATCTTTGAATTTTTTTTTTTAAATCCTCGCCTTATAGGGTCCCTGAAAAAATATTTTTTTAAAAAATCCACACCTTATAGGGTCCCTGAAAAAATATTCTTTAAAGAAACCACGCTTTGTAGGGTCCCTGAAAAAATATTTTTTAAGAAATCCACGCCTTATAGGGTCCCTGAAAAAATATTCTTTAAAGACTCTACGCCTTATAGGGTCCCTGAAAATTTTTTTTAAAAATCCACGCATTATAGGATCTTTGAATTTTTTTTTAAAAATCCTCGCCTTATAGGGTCCCTGAAAAAATATTTTTTTAAAAAATCCACGCCTCGTAGGCTCCCTGAAAAAATATTTTTTAAAAAATCCAAGCTTGGTAGGGTCCCTGAAAAAATATATTTTAAAAAATCCACACCTTATAGGGTCCCTGAAAAATATTCTTTAAAGAATCTACGCTTTGTAGGGTCCCAGAAAAAATGTTTGTTAAAAAATCCACGTTTTTTGGACTTTGAAAAACATTCTTTAAAAAATCCAAGCCTATATTTACTATTTTTTTATATTTTCATGGTATATAATCATTTAATTTTAAATAATAAATTAATAATTAAATTGTAACGGTTTTTCACCCCCCCCCCCCCACCTTTTAGAAATCAATCCATGTACCCAATATTCTCGTATTGTATGTATATTCGTCACAACCGTGTACTACCGCATTCCCAACACAAAACATGTTTTGGAGAAGGGCACACGCATCTTCATACCCATACGCATTATTCACTATGATCCCGAAATCCCGATCCGGAAATAAAGCAGCGGCATTCTCAATCATATCTGGCATTTGGTGATGGACCATGTAATTGTATTGGTATACGGTTGGGACGTCTACAAGTTACAGCCGCTCTGGTGGCACTGCTAGCAAATTATAAATTTTCCATTTGCAGTCGGACAACAGATCGACATGAGTATTCGAAGCATATATTCGCCTTGAAAAATATGAACGATATATGGCTGAAGGTGGAAAAGTTGGATATGTGATTAGAAATAAATTTTAGAAATATTTTATTTTAAGAAATAAATTATATACATATTTAAAAAAAAAAAAATATTTTTTCAAAAAAAAAAAAAAAAAAATATATCGTGGATTTTTTAAAGAATGTTTTTTTCAAGGACCCCACTAGGCGTGGATTTTTTAAAGAATATTTTTTCAAGGCTCCACAAGGCGTGGATTTTTTTAAGAATATTTTTTCAAGGACCCCACTAGGCGTGGATTTTTTAAAGAATATTTTTTCAAGAACCCCACTAGGTGTGGATTTTTTAAAGAATATTTTTTCAAGAACCCCACTAGGCGTGGATTTTTTAAAGAATATTTTTTCAAGAACCCCACTAGGCGTGGATTTTTTAAAGAATATTTTTCAAGAACCCCACTAGGCGTGGATTTTTTAAAGAATATTTTTTCAAGAACCCCACTAGGCGTGGATTTTTTAAAGAATATTTTTTCAAGAACCCCACTAGGCGTGGATTTTTAAAGAATATTTTTTCAAGAACCCCACTAGGCGTGGATTTTTTAAAGAATATTTTTTCAAGAACCCCACTAGGCGTGGATTTTTTAAAGAATATTTTTTCAAGAACCCCACTAGGCGTGGATTTTTTAAAGAATATTTTTTCAAGAACCCCACTAGGCGTGGATTTTTTAAAGAATATTTTTTCAAGAACCCCACTAGGCGTGGATTTTTTAAAGAATATTTTTTCAAGAACCCCACTAGGCGTGGATTTTTTAAAGAATATTTTTTCAAGGCTCCACAAGGCGTGGATTTTTTTAAGAATATTTTTTCAAGGACCCCACTAGGCGTGGATTTTTTAAAGAATATTTTTTCAAGAACCCCGCTAGGCGTGGATTTTTTAAAGAATATTTTTTCAAGAACCCCACTAGGCGTGGATTTTTTAAAGAATATTTTTTCAAGAACCCCACTAGGCGTGGATTTTTTAAAGAATATTTTTTCAAGAACCCCACTAGGCGTGGATTTTTTAAAGAATATTTTTTCAAGAACCCCACTAGGCGTGGATTTTTTAAAGAATATTTTTTCAAGAACCCCACTAGGCGTGGATTTTTTAAAGAATATTTTTTCAAGAACCCCACTAGGCGTGGATTTTTTAAAGAATATTTTTTCAAGAACCCCACTAGGCGTGGATTTTTTAAAGAATATTTTTTCAAGAACCCCACTAGGCGTGGATTTTTTAAAGAATATTTTTTCAAGAACCACTAGGCGTGGATTTTTTAAAGAATATTTTTTCAAGGCTCCACTAGGCGTGGATTTTTTAAAGAATATTTTTTCAAGGCTCCACTAGGCGTGGATTTTTTAAAGAATATTTTTTCAAGAACCCCACTAGGCGTGGATTTTTTAAAGAATATTTTTTCAAGGACCCCACAAGGCGTGGATTTTTTAAAGAATGTTTTTTTCAAAGACCCTACAAGGCTTGGATTTTTTAAAGAATATTTTTTCAAAGACCCTACAAGGCTTGGATTTTTTAAAGACTATTTTTTCAGGGTCCCTACAAGGCGTGGATTTTTTAAAGAATATTTTTTTCAAAGACCCTACAAGGCTTGGATTTTTTAAGGAATATTTTTTTCAAAGACCCTACAAGGCTTGGATTTTTTAAAGAATATTTTTTTTTCAAAGACCCTACAAGGCTTGGTTTTTTAAAGAATATTTTTTTCAAAGACCCTACAAGGCTTATATTTTTTAAAGAATATTTTTTTCAGGGTCCGTACAAGACGTGGATTTTTTAAAGAATATTTTTTTCAAAGACCCCACAAGGCGTGGATTTTTTAAAGAATATTTTTTCAAGAACCCCACTAGGCGTGGATTTTTTAAAGAATATTTTTTCAAGGACCCCACAAGGCGTGGATTTTTTAAAGAATATTTTTTCAAGGACCCCACAAGGCGTGGATTTTTTAAAGAATATTTTTTCAAGGACCCCACAAGGCGTGGATTTTTTAAAGAATATTTTTTCAAGGACCCCACTAGGCGTGGATTTTTTAAAGAATATTTTTTCAAGGACCCCACTAGGCGTGGATTTTTTAAAGAATATTTTTTCAAGGACCCCACTAGGCGTGGATTTTTTAAAGAATATTTTTTCAAGGACCCCACTAGGCGTGGATTTTTTAAAGAATATTTTTTCCACGGACACTACAAAAAACATTTTTATTGTTGATCCTTCAAAAATATTATTTAAAAAAAATCTCCACCTACTTATTTTTATATATTTTCTTATATATATTTTTTTTTAATTATCCTAGTCGTTGTTCTTTGAAAAAAATTTTTTTTTTTCATTTCAGATTTTTGGTTTTTTTTTAATTCACGTTTCTTTTTTCATTGACCATTTTTTTCTTTAAACGTCTCAGGCGTTTTTTCAAAAATATACATCTATTGGCCCTTGGGTGCTTACAAAAATATTCTGCAAAAATCTATACTTTTAATTGAAAATTCCTATCCCCTGATAGTCTTTCAAAATTTTTCCTCAAAATAAGCCAATATTATTGTTGTGATAGTACTTCAAAACTTAGAACTGATCTTGAAAACGTTTCCATTGCTTGTAATATTTTTCCCGTTGACCCTACCCTTGAATGTCGATCGTTGCGTGTGTGTTTTTTCTTCCCCCGATTGAATAGCTGGCAAATTTTGAATAATATTTTCGCTGTGTGTCGGTATGTCCGATAAGATTAATAGAAAAGAAATATGACGATTTAATTATGACAAATTACATTTATCAATGCGATCACGTTTCTACGACTGGACTGGACACAATTATCAAAAAAAAAAAAAAAAAAAAAAAAAAATTTGTGTTCTACTGCCATTTAATTCACTTGCATGCGATAAAAGTTCGTTAGCTCCGAAGATGGATGATATTTTTTATTAGACAAGCGGCAAGAGCGTCGTTGACATGGCTTCGGGTGGGGTTGGGGCAGAAGGATAGAATATATTTTCAGAAATCTAGGAGTAGGTCAGAGTACGCTCATTAGCTGAGATTAACATTTATGAAGTCTAATGGGCCTCTAATTGCTTTTTGGAGATTTTCAAAAAAATCTGCCACTACGCCCCTGACTGCCAATATAAATCCAGCTGCAGGCATTATTTTGGTAAAAAATATTTTCGCATATTTTTAGTATATTTTCGCCTAATATAAAATATAGAAATTCGTTTTGTAATTGTTATAGTCAATAGAAAACAGCGAAGAGAAACGGTTGTGAAAGTTGTGCGGAATCAAAATGGCAGCTTTGTTATATTTGGTAATATTCCTAATTTGTGTCCTGATACACTTTCTGCATCGGAAATTTCAACACTGGCAGCGGAAGGGTATTCGCACCTGGCAGGCCCACCCTCTTATGGGTAACTGGAGGCAGCTGGAGACCATGCATCACACCGAGATTTTAGATGAAATTTATCGGCGTTTCAAGCCCACAGAATCGGTGGCTGGTTTTTATATCTACACCCAACCGGTGGCGGTTTTATTGGATTTGGATTTAGTTAAGGCAGCTCTCGTCAAAGATTTCAATGAATTTTCCGATCGTTTTGCCTATCAAAATAACAAGGATTTGACAGCGGACAATCTCTTCTTTTGGGAGAGCCATAAATGGCGTTCGTTGCGCGGGAAATTTTCCACAATTTTCACACCGGCCAAAATCAAATACATGTTTCACACCATTAATGCGGCCGCCCTGCAAATGGCCGAGAGTGTGGGCAAGTGTCTGGAGAAGGAGGATATTTTAAATATGAGCGATTTTGGAGGACGTTTTACCACCGATGTCATTGCCAATTGCATTATGGGCTGTGAGAGCCATAGCTTGAAATTCGAACACAGTGATTTCCACGACATTGCCCCCGTGACGACGGGAACAACGGGATTCAATGTCCGCTGGAAGCTGTTTGTGGAGACCTATGTAAGCCTCCTCGAATCCATGGGCATTCATGTGACAATGTTCCCCCAGAAATTGGAACATTTCTATATGCACCTGCTGAAGAATAATTTCATTGAACGTGAAAAGCTGAATGTGAGAAAGCAGGACTTATTGGATTTGCTAATCGATTTGAGGAAAATCCAGGATGAAAATGGAAATCCGATATTGACACATAGTGAGATTGCCTCGAATTTGTTTTTATTTTTTGCGGCAGGATATGAATCGTCGGCCAATACCATCAGTAATTCATTGTGGGAGCTGGCCAGGCATCCGGAGCTACAGGATCGGGTGCGTGATGAAATACATGCGGTTTTGGAGGAATTCAACAATGAGCTGTGTTACGAGGCCTGTATGAAAATGACTTACTTGGATCAGATTATATCGGGTAAGAAATATTCTTGAAAAAATATTCTTTAAAAAATCCACGTTTATTTGGACCTTAAAAACATTAAAAAATCCACGTTTATTTAGCCCTTCGAAAAAATATTCTTTAAAAAATCCACTTTTATTTGGTCCTTTGAAAAAATATTCTTTCAAATTAATTCACGTTTCTTTTTTCATTGACCATTTTTTTCTTTAAACGTCTCAGGCGTTTTTTCAAAAATATACATCTATTGGCCCTTGGGTGCTTACAAAAATATTCTGCAAAAATCTATACTTTTAATTGAAAATTCCTATCCCCTGATAGTCTTTCAAAATTTTTCCTCAAAATAAGCCAATATTATTGTTGTGATAGTACTTCAAAACTTAGAACTGATCTTGAAAACGTTTCCATTGCTTGTAATATTTTTCCCGTTGACCCTACCCTTGAATGTCGATCGTTGCGTGTGTGTTTTTTCTTCCCCCGATTGAATAGCTGGCAAATTTTGAATAATATTTTCGCTGTGTGTCGGTATGTCCGATAAGATTAATAGAAAAGAAATATGACGATTTAATTATGACAAATTACATTTATCAATGCGATCACGTTTCTACGACTGGACTGGACACAATTATCAAAAAAAAAAAAAAAAAAAAAAAAAATTTGTGTTCTACTGCCATTTAATTCACTTGCATGCGATAAAAGTTCGTTAGCTCCGAAGATGGATGATATTTTTTATTAGACAAGCGGCAAGAGCGTCGTTGACATGGCTTCGGGTGGGGTTGGGGCAGAAGGATAGAATATATTTTCAGAAATCTAGGAGTAGGTCAGAGTACGCTCATTAGCTGAGATTAACATTTATGAAGTCTAATGGGCCTCTAATTGCTTTTTGGAGATTTTCAAAAAAATCTGCCACTACGCCCCTGACTGCCAATATAAATCCAGCTGCAGGCATTATTTTGGTAAAAAATATTTTCGCATATTTTTAGTATATTTTCGCCTAATATAAAATATAGAAATTCGTTTTGTAATTGTTATAGTCAATAGAAAACAGCGAAGAGAAACGGTTGTGAAAGTTGTGCGGAATCAAAATGGCAGCTTTGTTATATTTGGTAATATTCCTAATTTGTGTCCTGATACACTTTCTGCATCGGAAATTTCAACACTGGCAGCGGAAGGGTATTCGCACCTGGCAGGCCCACCCTCTTATGGGTAACTGGAGGCAGCTGGAGACCATGCATCACACCGAGATTTTAGATGAAATTTATCGGCGTTTCAAGCCCACAGAATCGGTGGCTGGTTTTTATATCTACACCCAACCGGTGGCGGTTTTATTGGATTTGGATTTAGTTAAGGCAGCTCTCGTCAAAGATTTCAATGAATTTTCCGATCGTTTTGCCTATCAAAATAACAAGGATTTGACAGCGGACAATCTCTTCTTTTGGGAGAGCCATAAATGGCGTTCGTTGCGCGGGAAATTTTCCACAATTTTCACACCGGCCAAAATCAAATACATGTTTCACACCATTAATGCGGCCGCCCTGCAAATGGCCGAGAGTGTGGGCAAGTGTCTGGAGAAGGAGGATATTTTAAATATGAGCGATTTTGGAGGACGTTTTACCACCGATGTCATTGCCAATTGCATTATGGGCTGTGAGAGCCATAGCTTGAAATTCGAACACAGTGATTTCCACGACATTGCCCCCGTGACGACGGGAACAACGGGATTCAATGTCCGCTGGAAGCTGTTTGTGGAGACCTATGTAAGCCTCCTCGAATCCATGGGCATTCATGTGACAATGTTCCCCCAGAAATTGGAACATTTCTATATGCACCTGCTGAAGAATAATTTCATTGAACGTGAAAAGCTGAATGTGAGAAAGCAGGACTTATTGGATTTGCTAATCGATTTGAGGAAAATCCAGGATGAAAATGGAAATCCGATATTGACACATAGTGAGATTGCCTCGAATTTGTTTTTATTTTTTGCGGCAGGATATGAATCGTCGGCCAATACCATCAGTAATTCATTGTGGGAGCTGGCCAGGCATCCGGAGCTACAGGATCGGGTGCGTGATGAAATACATGCGGTTTTGGAGGAATTCAACAATGAGCTGTGTTACGAGGCCTGTATGAAAATGACTTACTTGGATCAGATTATATCGGGTAAGAAATATTCTTGAAAAAATATTCTTTAAAAAATCCACGTTTATTTGGACCTTAAAAACATTAAAAAATCCACGTTTATTTAGCCCTTCGAAAAAATATTCTTTAAAAAATCCACTTTTATTTGGTCCTTTGAAAAAATATTCTTTCAAAAATCCACGCCTTATAGGGTCCATGAAAAAATATTCTTTCAAAAATCCACGCCTTATAGGGTCCTTGAAAAAATATTCTTTAAAAAATCCACGCCTTATAGGGTCCCTAAAAATATTGATTTAAAAAATCCACGACTTATAGAGTCCCTAAAAATTATTTTTTTAATTGCCATGTAGGGTCCCTAAAAAAATATTTTTTAAAAAATGCACGTTTATTTGGACCTTGAAAAAATATTTTTTAAAAAATCCACGCTTATTTGGACCTCGAAAATATATTTTTTAAAAAATCCACGTTTATTTGGACCTTGAAAAAATATTTTTTAAAAAATCCACATTTATTTGGACCTTGAAAAAATATTTTTTAAAAAATTTACGTTTATTTGGACCCTGAAAAAATATTTTTTAAAAAATCCACGTTTATTTGGACCTTGGCAAAAATATTTTTTAAAAAATCCCCGTTTATTTGGACCTTGAAAAAATATTCATTAAAAATCCAGGCTTTGTAGAGTGCCCGCAAAAATATTTTTTTAAAAAATCCACGTTTTGTTGGGTCCCTAAAAAATATATTCTTTAAAAAATCCAGGTCTTGTAGAGCCCCCGAAAAAATTATTTTTAAAAAATCCACGTTTTATAGGGTCCCTAAAAAAATATTCTTTAAAAAATCCACGCCTTGTAGAGTCCCTGAAAAAATATTTTTTAAAAAAACCACACTTGTAGGGTCCCTAAAAAAATATTCTTTAAAAAATCCAGGCCTTGTAGAGTCCCCGAAAAAATATTTTTTAAAAACTCCACGCCATGTAGGATCCCTGAAAAAAATATTCTTTAAAAAATCCACGCCATGTAGCGTCCCTGAAAAAATTTTTTTTTAAAAAATCCACGCCACGTAGGGTCCCTGAAAAAATATTTTTTAAAAAATCCACGCCATGTAGGGTAAATGAAAAAAATATTTTTTAAAAAATCCACGCCATGTAGGGCCCCTGAAAAAAATATTTTTTAAAAAATCCGCGCCATGTAGGGTCCCTGAAAAAAATATTTTTTAAAAAATCCATACCTTGTAGAGTCCCCGAAAAAAATATTAAAAAAAACACGCCTTGGATGGTCGTTGAAAAAATATTTGTTAAAATATCCTCGCCTTATAGGGTCCTTGAAAAAATATTCTTTAAAAAATCCACGCCTTGTAGGGTCCTAGAAAA